TCAAAAAAAGTCGAATACTTTTGTAGTGAACAAGAACACCAGTGGGGACAATCGAATGTATTCAACACAAAATTACAAGACTTGCTAAATAAATCTTACCAATTGTCTCAAAATGACTCAGACATCATTGTTCTTGCATTTTCATACAAATTGCATTCTGTTTCTATTCTTTACTGTTAGATTCTCTTGTCTCTCTGCTTCCAGATCTTCTGTTTACGACTAACATCTACTAGTTATGACAATATAAGTAGTACACACCACACTTTAACTACTAAATCACGGTTCGATTAGAAATAATTCTGACAGTTTTCTTTCGATCACTTATTTATTATCAACGAATTTTTGTTTCAACTACTATAGAACATTTTAATGCGCCATGGACTAACAGTAGTACCTGTCGGTCAAATTTCGATATATGTACATTACGACTTTCTTTTGTTCCCACGCTACAACCATTTTAATAGATAAATCTTGCAATGATGATTAATTTGGAAAAGACTAAAGAAAATTAATTTCAGCAAGTAACAGGGACGAATACATATATGTACCATGAACTTGAAAATAGGGCTAAAAAGTTGATATACCAAAAGTCATAGATCAATTGGATAAAAAGGTGTTATGTCCAATGAGAATAATGAATGGTAACTGTTGTAATCTATTTCTGGACTAATACTATACGTATATTTTTATGGTATAATTGTTAGGTAACTAAACTTCATATTCATGTCTCCCTTATTATGAACTTTATTTTGACCTATGAACTATTAATATACGATTAACCACTCTTGAATTATGCCCTGTCTATTAATTACTATCTCCCATATTCACAGCCACATTTGACCAAATCTTGTACAAATGTTGTTTTCGATTTTATGGAACGATGTGGTCTGTTTGGTTGGTATATAAACCCGGTATGCTTGAAATAAACGATTCATATCACAGAGGCTGAGATTGGTGTTCTGATAAATGGATTTTCAAATACTTTAATATCCCTCAATTTCAACATTTCTCTATCTAATCTTTTCTGTTCTAAACACGAATAGCTAATAAATAAATATTATATTTGTAATATCCCAATCTAAGTTTAAACTTGGATTAATTTTAATTTGGTTATTTATTCTCTGAAGAAGTGGCTTATACTAAGTCACAAAACGTCAGAAAATCTCATTTTTCTACTCATTGGGATATTACAAATGTATTATTTATTTATAACAAACTACTCAATGCTCAATTTATTCGAAATTATTAATTCAAACCTTGGTAATGATACCTACAAACTCATGAATAGCTATTCTTTATGATTGAATGACAAACTGAAAGAATATAGGAATAAAGTCGAAAAACAAATGTAAACTAACCCTACTAGAGGCTAATTATTTTTTCCCCACAAATATATACAGAGACTTGTATAATGTCATGCTCAATCATCAAAGGTATATGTGAAGAGAAAAAACGTACAAACTTATAATCTCTAATCTATACAGAATCAAAATACTTAAATAATTGGTAACGCCTAAAAATAACAAGAGGAAAGAATAATGAAAATCATTGTTAACAATAACAATAAAAAAAGAAACCAAAGGGAATATACTAAAAATAAAAGAAGGGATTAAAACAGGTAAATGAATAAATAACTAAGTATCAGAAGGGGTTCTTGTAGATATTATAGTAATTTCAATAGTTGAGGTCATGAGTCAATTGAAGCTAGACCACCACGGAAAACCTGGCCGTCCAATACTTTCAGGTTTTTCATAGTGATCTAGCTTCAATTGGCTCATGATTTCAACTATTGAAAATAAGTAATATATGATTTTCCGCATTTGCAATTCAATAAATACTGAAAGTATTTCAGAAAAAAGAATAGAAATAGAGAAGGTAAAGACTGATCAACTTCATTACATTTTATACAAGTGATTTCCAAAAATAAATTAGCTGAATTGACAGAATTAATCTTTACAAATTATCATTAGTGACTGAACGGATAGATTACTGAAGATAGTAATTAATTAATGAATAATTGAATAAATGATTAAATAATTCATGATATTACTGATACATAAAATTTTTAATGACAACTGTCAGCCAACGTCAAAGTCAGAATGTTCAATACGAATGTCAAGATAGTTCTACTGTACGGAGCTGAAACGTGGAGAACTACTACAACTATTATCAATAAGGTACAAATATGTATAAACATTTGTCTATGTAGCATAGTGAATTCCATTGGTCAGATATTATCAGCAACAGCCTACTGTGGGAGAGAACAAACCAACTTTCAACTAAGGAGGAAATTATGCAAAGATGTTGGAAGTGGATAGGACATACATTCTGGAAATTATCAAACTGCATCATGAGACAAGTTCTAACTTGAAATGCTGAAGGGAAACGAAAAAGCGGAAAACCGAAGAACACACTGCGTCGGAAATTGGAAGTAGGCATGAAAAGGATGAATAGCAACTGGAAATAACGGGGAAAGATTGCCCAGGATAGAGTTTAATGTAGAATGCTGGAGGGCAGCTTGTACTCCTTCACGAGTAACAGGCGAATTGGATTGGAATTAATTAAAGAAAACAAAAAGTCACAAAATGTCCAGTGATGCTTCACTTTTTTTCAGCATATCAATATGAATATTATCGAAGTCAACTTATGATATTTATGTTATTCAAATATAATCCTCTAGGTGATGATATATCCACACATATATCATTTAACTTAAGGATAGAATACAAGTGACATAATTTGAATAAATAAATAATCCAATTTATGTATGAGATTTATGTTAGCTCTGATTAGCGTATCAATACAACACATTTGCATACATTTCTCAATATACAACAACTAAGATAGTAAAAATTTCGAATGATTGTAAAAGTATGATTATAGTTTGTGATAAACTATTGTGTGACCCAGCCGTAAAATATTGGTAAACATAAAAATATTGTAAGTAATAGATGTCGTGGAAGCATTATCTCTATATAAAGACAATCGAACAGGATGTGATTAAGCACCATGCGAAATAACTGGACTAATTCTCAGACACCTACAGTTACTTATCTATCCGAAAAGGTGACGTTTGTTACAACATATTTAGAAGAGGATAACATAGAAGTGGGATAACAATTGAAGCAGTCAACTTTAAACTATTAGATTACAGATTTAAACCTTGTTTCATTTACTTCAATTTTGACAACGGCTAAAAAAAATATCAGCAATTGGTGAATTACAAGCAGCAGGTCGAACAGGTTTACGAAAGTGAATATCTGATAAAGGTTTTTAAAAAGTTACAAAAAAGGGGTGAAAACTCCAGCTATTTGTCTACCGAATATTACGTTTCAACCGTTGAAGAAACGTAAGCGCAGACCAGATACAAGTAGATCCTTATAACCAATCCGAAGAATGACCTCAAAGTGGAGATATCAGTAAGATAGATCCCTGAAAATTACGGGCTTGTATCAGAAATAAATCAAAACACAGTGAATAGTCTATCTTCAACAAAAGAGTGCGCTGATGAACAAATCAAAATCCTTGAAGATTTTTTGTGTAAATTCTACATAAACTCTGATGTACTCACAACTGTATCTTTGTTCTTCATGCTGATAAAAACACACACATACTCTCGACATTTGCTCTGATTGAGAATGAGTTATGTGAAGTATATTCTAACACAAAGAAAGACCACAGAGAACTCCATTATGTAACAAAAATATGACATTGAAGAGTGTTTATTATTATTATGATTGTTAGAACAAGAAAACACAACACGAAACGAATTACCAAAGTCACAAAAAATATGTATAAGAATAAAAACTACAACCACTCGTGAAAGAGTATAGTATAGATAGGAGTCAATCGTAGTCGAGAAAGCGACTTTTCAGATTTTGAATAAAATTCAAATAATACCCATAACAATAGGTAACAATATTTCTGTATACTACTAAAAACGTTCACAATCATAACGAAAAATTACCGAAACCACCATAAAGTAAAAATCATTGTGTTAAACGTATCAAGTATTTTATTCTATTTCTGTACATTTTATATAACATCTTATCCCTAAATGCTTAATCCTGATTCATAATAATAAGCTAGTGGCAATATAACTTACAATCAAGAAAGTTAGATAACACTTCTTGGATATTTGAAGTAAATACACTCATCCATTTGAATACAGAGAATTTCCGCATTATAGAAGATGACGTGTTAGCAGTTGTAGCTCTAAACTCTAATCCTTGCTCTGAATCTACAACCCTGACAATGCAGGTACCCATCCATCTCAGTCGATGAAGATTCACAACCTCGTCAACTAATTTACCATCATTCCCTAATACCCTGCGTCTAATCTCACTATTACTTACCCGGTGATCCCAGCAGACGCCAGCAATATTTCTAAGGCATCTGTGGTCAAATACTAATAGCTTACTAGTGTCTTCTAATCTTAATGGCCATGTTTCGCTGCCGTAAAGTAAAACAGAACAGACTGCCGCGCAGCATACTCGTCCTTTTATTGATAGACGGATATCTCGCCTTCGCCATAGGTGACGTAAGTTGGCGAAAGGCAAACGAGCTTTTCGAATCCGTGCTGAGATTTCGTCAAACACCAACCCATTAGGGCTGATCAGAGTTCCAAGATAAGAGAAGTTGTCAACGCGTTCGACTACTTCACTCCCTATCCTTAGTTCAGGTGTTGACGCAGACTGGTCCTGAAGCAACAACTTGCATTTAGAGGGAGAGATGCGCATTGCAAACATTCTGGCATTGTTGCTTAGTGCTACCAGAAGACTCTGCATATTATCAGTGTCTTCACCAAACAGGACGTTATTCCCATTAGTAGGTCCTATGATGAAGTTAAACAAAAATGGAGATAGTGGACAACCATGCCGGACACTACTTGAGGTTGAAAAGTTAGGTAATATTTCGCTGTAAGCTCTGACTCAACTAGTAGTGTTCCAGTAAAGAGCCTAAAAACTCAATGTAAACATTAACTAATGTTTAAAACTTACGGTAGAGTAGTTTTATTTTCTATCGCATCAATTCCATCGGTGCCAACATTTGCTGGATTAATAACTATGGTACAACCTTTTGGTGTGGTAGCATGATTATTCGATGAATCTAATGCATTTGAAATAAACGGTTGTGCATATTCACGTGACTGTGAATTGATATTTATGTTTTCACCATCAAATACATTTTTGCAATCCTAGACAAGTTATTTGTGGAAAAAATTCACGATTATAGGATTATCAAAATAAATCAGTTATGAATAGTTTAATCAAGATTAAAATTATTTCTAGAGGATTGGTTAAAATGAATGACTACGAATGATGCGGAGATGATATTTATCCGTTTCTCAATATTCGGGTAATCAAACATTTTCAAGAATGTATTCGTTCATTTTGTTGGTGAGTGCTGCATATGAGAGTATAATTTTCTCTAGGGATTTTAGTTTCTAATTTATTTGCCTTTTTCACCTAAGAGGTTGAGATGGGCTTTAGTTGCGTATTCATGGGGTATGTATGCGGACAGCTTCAAATGATGGAAATGCAATCTCTAGTGAAAATTGTGTTCATATACACAACGCTGATCCCCATAATGCTATATATTGCACTTTCACGGAACTTTGAAATGATGGTTATCGTTACACAAATGATACTGATAAGTAACAAAAGTATAGGCATGTCAACTGCGAGGGCTCAAATGTCAACTTAAGGTTAGACGGCAGGTAAGAAGTTAAAAACAAGGCAAGCTGTTGGAGGAGTTCAGTCAAACACCTAGTTAATGTCTCAGTCTACATATTTTATTCCGGTTCAAAAAAATAATGCCATATGAATACTAAAGATTTGTGTATGTTACAAATCGATTCGGTAATTAAACTTAACGATTTATTCCAGTCTTGTCACGTACATACTGGATGAGATATACCGTATGATTCGTATATCCTAATTAAATCAGACCTCAGAACAAAATAGATACGTTACGAACATCTGAGAAACTCAGAAATGACAATTTCAAAATACTTTGATATAATCAAGAATAACTTTCAGGTGAAGTCACGGGATGGTAAAACTTATATACAAACAAAATGAGATCGATTACACAAATGTCCAAAACAGAAGAGTGTAACAGAGATACGTAATAGATAATGTATTCAAGCACTTCGAAGTAGGTGACCATCCCAATTCATACCTATTTACATTCTTCATGAGTGGTGGCTAGGTGATTAACGCTTCCGACTTTCAAACCCTAAGTGACAAGTTCGAATTCTATCCCATCTACTTCAGTTGGGGTAACCAGGGTTAGTACCACTAGACATTACAAGTAGAGTATGACTGAAAGGCAAGTACGCCAATATGTACGTAGTAACGAGTTTATAATAACAATAACAATGGTAATGATAGTGATAAATAGCACATGTTTTTTTCCGGTGAAACGTATGTTAACATTGTACCTTTGGTCTGGAGGTTAAGGGTTTGCGCGAGACGAAAGGTCCTGAGATCGAGTCACAGGTGCTGGATCATGGGTGCAAATGCCTGACGGGCCCTATACTGGGACGAAACGACTGCCAAGTGCTTCCAGGGTTTTAATGGTGGTCTGACATTGATCGGTTCACGATCTCAATATAAATCCAACAATCTCCACAACCCTATACCGGTGAGGAAATTTTTCTTTTCAATTAATTCCTCATTAGAGCTTTACACTAACATAGATAGGTTTTACAATTCAGTAAATAAATGGTGATTCGTCGAATTAACAATGTCTTCTATAAAGCAGTAATCATTAAGATGTTCAATAAATGTAGAAGATATAACATATTTAAGGATAAGGTTACGTAATCAGTTAACCATAAAACTCGTTGCACAATAATTCATTTCAAAATCAAGCAATGGAATATGAATGTTTTCTGTTATTTGTAAAGTTAACAGTACATAATTAGTAAAACGAGTACAATAGAAATTAGGTAATCAGATTATTAAGAAAGATAGATAGATCATGTAAAATGAAATTATAAATCAAAATTGAGTAGAATTAAAAATCTTCTAAGAAATGTAGTAAGTGAGGTAAAAGTCATGGTTAATTAAGAGGCTGGACAAAATTCTACTGAACACAAAGATAAGGTTTGTTGATGTGTGTACCTATGACTATCGACATATGTGAAAGACGAAGTCTGGAAACATAGTGCAAGTTCGATGTCATTCTATAAATAGATTTGGAAAAACATTTTGTATTGATTGATATCTACTAAATGCACTAAAACATAGTGTTTTTTTAGTGGGGCCCTTCATTTTGACGTCAATTAGATCGGTCGATGTTATCAACGATCTCACCACTTTAATGGCCCGACATCTTACTCCAATTGGATCGTATGAATGTTATTGAAAGACATATGTCAGGTATCCTCGTATGTAATAATAGACTTAAACCACGTTAGTGAATAATGGAACTAAATAAGCAAAATACGAGAGTTGATTTTGAATATGTATATTTCATGCACTCATTGATTTGAACAGGCAATCAAGAAGACGAAACAAATAGGGAAGAGCGAAGGAGATTGGAGAAGTGAAGAGAGCGAAACGAAAAGACGCGCAGTTGAGGAGTATGAACCAACTCGATTTAACCAAACGTTAATCGATATTTATAGCCGAACAAAAATAAGTTACAGACATGTGATAATAAGATAGGAAATGAACACACAAACGCTTACATAAAAACAGTCAAGGTTGATAAGTAAATAATTAACAAGGTCAAAACGTGACTCAAGAAGAATGAATAAATTGGCCTGTCCAGAAGGTAGAATAAGTGATATGCGCTTAACATAGTAACCGACACTACAGTTTCACTGTTCTCTTTTCGAATCAAACAAAAGGTGATATTCAAAAATACAGTGATATAATTGCGTGGTTCTATGGTGCTATTTACAGATCACATCGCTAGCTCGCAGGTTACATCACATTTAACTGCAATTTTAGGACTAAAGTGTTCTTCGATGATGCAGGTGATTTTACTTTAGGTTCTATTGTGGACGTATATTTTGTTTGGAATTTTATTGAGTATCCGTTTTTACTTAATGGATTCCATAGAAAGCATGGTTCTATTAGACCACAAAAAAAGACGGAAATAAACAAAGCACATTTCTTGACTTTGATATAGTGTGGAATTGTACGTACACTGTTGAGAAATGTCAAAGTATGCTGACGTAACTGTCAAGAGTATATTTTGAGTTCCCAGTAATGTTTTAAATATCAGTTTGTGATAGAACAATAGAAAACAACACCTATTATTGATTTATCGCTAAGTAGTCTATTATGTCTGTGTTTACTTCTTTAATGCTGATCGAATCCTATCAGTCAAATTATAATATGGTCATCAGTCTAAGGGAATCGACATTGTGTGAAGTATGTTGAGAAAGCACGTTAACTACCTAGTATTTTAAAAACAAAATCAATTTAATTTACGTTCACACAAACTGTTTATCTTTTGGCCGTCAGTATATGCAAATTCTATAACCATTAATCTATAGTATGAAATATGAATAAAATCGCCCACAAAAAGGAGAGAGAAACAGAGAAACCAGCCAGAAAGACAACAATTTCAACTCCTTATTCACTATTTTGTATTCTATCTTGATTGTTATTGTTAATAAAACCATGATAAATTAGAACAGACAATAAAAACTTTTTATTATTTTAAAGAGTTATCGAAGTAAGAACATCAAAATGGTAAAATTAGTAGTTATTTTTTTATGTTGAATTCTTTAAGTTAGATAATTTGATGATAGAGCTTTCGTTGTCGTTCAGAACAACATTGCCAGGGCCTACTTTATGAAGTAATTAAATTAAACCAGATAAGTTAACAACATTAAAAATATTCGCCTGAGCTGTAAATCTTCTCTACCATTGATAATATTCAATGACAATTTCAAGGAGTGAACTTCACCAGCAATTTATTATACATATATAAGGATGGCTATGACGGTGATACGGATAAGATATAAAGGTGAGAAAAGTGACTAGGATAATGAGTGTTGATAAGAAGAACGAAAAGAATAACAGTGATTAATTTCTATGACGACACAGACAAGCGTGAACCTACACTGTCGATTACCGTTTTATTACTGAAATTACTTATACGGATAACAATAGTGGAGTCCTATAGGTTTTGTGTTCAAGAAACTTCTTTGTACGTTTTACTTCCCGATCTCAGTCATTGTTTTTAAATTATCTTCTCCCTTAGCTAGTTCACCACTATTCCTAATACCATTATTTCTTGTTTTTCATATAGATGCCAGGTATGACGATTTGGATCGATACAGATTATTGCCAGATTGTAGATTAATTACGAAGGATCAGGGCTAATAATAATTATAGCTGAGATCAAACACATTTTCCATTATGAAGGGGTGGTCACGCTTACATACCCGTAAAGACCCGACTGAGCTATATTGATTGTAACACTTGTTTCTTCAGGAGAGCGATAAAACTAGGAGTATATGCTTGATATCAGTTGATCGACGCGTACTGCTAATTGTACAGAAATGTCACTGGGTTACAAAATGTTGTCCCTAAAAATAATACACTTTACCTTGGGCCCACGGAGTTCCGCTCGTAGTGAGCTCTGAAAAGTATGGAGCTAATGCATCTAAAACTACTCACAAAAACTCATGTATGACTGGTTTCAAATATTTATCTCTTGGGCTCTTAACTCAAACCCAAGTTTGAAAGACCCCTACCATTAATCCGATCTCGTTCCCAGATACCCGTAGAAAAGTATCGTTAAGCAGTACAGGCAGCCGGTCTGAGGGCGAAGTCGTACTGCTGACTGTAGAGGAGTGTGAAAGAAGTAAGGTGTTTCCCTCGTGCAACTAGTATCTGCAGCGATGCTGCCTTCCCACAAGGAAGGAAGGGGTTAGAAAAGGTCGACCCTATAAATGTCACAACTTACCTTGCTTCACGGGTTTTCATTTCCGACGGTAAGGCCCTTTGAAGAACGGAGCTAACACCTTAAAAACTTCCCACAAAAAGGCTGAGCGTGGCCGGCCAAAAGCAGTTGTCCCTTGGGCTCTGCGGTCACGCTCCTAGATTAAGACCAACAATAATCCAACTTCCTACTCAGGTTCCTCAAGAAATACCCTTCCAAGTTGTGGGCAGCCGGGAAGTGACGCCAGCCCTCATACACATAACAACACACGATACCAAGTTGGTT